GACAGGGCATCACAGTATGGTGAGGGGCGTAACATTTCCGTCACACGCTTGAGGTATTCGGCCAATCATAACGCACTGGATAGCTGGCCAATCAGAGCACACCTCGCTTTTCAGACCGATGAGCTTTGTAAAAATCGACACGTTTCAGAAAGGCGGGGCATAGAGGAGAAACAATAATGTACAGTATGTGGAAAATAATGTGTTTTTTGAACCTTAAACCGCATAAACACATTTCATTACACCAAATACACAAAATAATGTTCTTTTTAGCAACATCATATGACCCCTTTAATATGTTATAATTGAGCTAAAGCAGAGTCGAATGGCACTACGCTGGTCAGGACTTGACACAATGCGAAATCAACATTTTAAAGATTAAATACAGATTGTGCGTGACCTTTATCTCTCAGGTCAAGCACACAAAGCCGAGGCCAACTGTGGTGTGATTAGATGCTGGACAAAGCTGCACTATTATTTCACTAAATCTGTTAGTCTGACTTCACAAAAATCAAACTGATATGATTTCAGTAAGACATTTTAAAAATACAAATTACTGTTTTAATCTGACTGAAATTTAATTTATGCAGCATGTAAACACGTTTACACCTCGTTGCATATCAAACTTAAAAAAATAAAGTATTTTAAACTTTTGAAAAACTACTAGGTACACACACACTCGATACAATTTTCGATAAAGTCGCTCGACAATAAAAGCTCAGCAATGAGCAGTATTGTAATTTAGTTTAAGAATCAGGCAGCAGGCAAGGATGACGCTCATGGTTACATAAAACACACGCACATACAAACACATTAAATCATCCCTGAGGCCCTGAAACAACAATGGGACAATGAGACAACCATGCCTTTGCACACAAACCTCTGTACACACACACACACACACACACACACACACTCTACTCCGTGCTACTTTCCCAGACTGGGATTAGTGTGTGTGATCAATGAGCACTGGGTGAGGACTCAATCCTAATCCAGAGCCATAGACACAGATTATAATCTGTTCATCTAGAGGCAATCTTTGGGTAAATACACAATCTTTTAAAACCACATAATTCAGTGTAAAGTTTTATATACTTTAAACCCTGCCTCAATCTACCCTCAAAAAATCTGTGACATACATTAAAACATATAGACTATCTATTGTTATTTTTCTATATATAATTTCACTGTTTTGCGTTTGCAATTGATTTCCTTGTTATAATAACTGAACAAATATTATTACAACAAATTTTTAGTTTACACCTTGTATAAATTACTTCCAAAAGAAGTCAAAGAACCAAACTTTTCATTTTGACAAGCACTGCATATACTGTAATCACAACAGGATTTCCAGCTCCACTCAGGGTTTTAAGTTTTCCACTCCCCACTAACTAGTGAGATAACCACCCCACCCACCCGCTCACATACTTCTGGCCTGGAACGCCATGGGCAAAGAAAACCAGAGTGATACAAAGTGAAATGTCCCAAAAAAATATTGGCCTTTTTGGAATGCGGCTTCAGATTAGAGTACCAGAACTAATTGTTGTATAAAAATATTTCAGTTTCAGGTCAAGGTCAGTCTTAATTGGATGAGATGGGGTTAGGCTTCGACCTAATACTCATGGAGACCTCTATGAGCTGCAGAAACCATTCAAACAGCTGATGGAAGGTGTCGGTGATGGTGACTGTTGGACTGTGTGGTTGATGTTAAATGTGCCGATTATAATCTTGGATCCAAATACAAAGGATGTGACACCTCTGATAATGACGCATTACATTCATTATAATTATGAGATCAGGCTGCCGTGTCTAAATGTGATTATGAAACATTTTGAGACAAGGCCTTTGGTGTTCTTCAGTTCTGCCAAACCATAATCCACAGACAATGAGAAATTAGGCCATTGAGCATGAGCCAGTTTGTGCATGACTGACAGCAAGGGGCTTTTTGATAAGGGTCATGGTGTATGCGTATTTGTGTTATGTTACTGGATATCAGCCTGGCACCCACTGGGGGGTTCACACACTGCTGTGGGCCCAGACAATACAAGCTGGCATGGATGGAAACCAGCTTATGCAACCAGGAAAGGCCAACATGGACAAAGCCAGATCTTCTTACGCCACCTATGCACTGCACTGCATTCATCCGTGAATCTGCCTGAAACATTAAAGATAATAAGTCAGTTCTGATGACTGGGTTTGTGCATTTGAATGATAAAGAGACACCTTGTGTAACATCAACAGACAGTTCTTGAAAAACCTGAGGAGATCTTTAGAAGACACCTACACAAAAATAAAGCAGCTCATTGACACATAAACTGTTATTTGCATAATTTGCAGATACACAGGCTAATTGTGGGCAAAAATGCAATGCCTACCAACACATTCAGAAATACAAGTATGACAAGGACATGACAAAACTAGACATTTTATGAAGACAATTTGAGTTGTACTTGCCCATGCATGTGATGTTGTGGTTGGCTGTCAGATCATTTGCTAGAGTGGTTTTTAGTGCATTGCTACGTGGTTGCTAAAGGTTTTCTTTTTGGTTTTTGACAGTTTAAAAGTACTATGGTATTATTATTTGATGCCATTATAGTACCATGGTACTTCTTTAGTATTGGATTTTTTTCTCAAATTAAAAACTGGAAACATATGTGATCTGTACGTCACACTGTCAAAAAAAAAAAAGATGCTGCTGTTGTAAATAGGGGTGCACCAAAATAAAAATTCTGGTTTTTAATTCTGCCATCAATAAGCCTATAATTATTTTATTGTTATGGCTGATAATCTACATATAGCAGAAAAGGTACTTTAAAAACTAGTTCTTATGAAACTTCAAAGGGGCCCCAAGACTACCTAAAATGATTTTAAAATAAATAAATAAAAAAGAGAGAATTTAATTCACACTCTCAACAATTTTTTTTTCTTTCTTTTCTTTGAAGAATCAAGGTTCCCAATCATTTTTAAGTATAATTTCTAGATCTGGAAATGTCATATAAATGAAAAAATCTCCATGGGCATTTTTTTAGTTAGGCCAAGCTCTAAATTATTTTATTATTTATTTATAAAATAAAAATTGAGCAAAAATATTTTAAAACATCCTTATCCCTAATCCTTTTCCAATTCATCATGAACAAAATCACAAATATTGTTGTGGACAACGTGGGGCCTTGGAGTCAAAAGGGTGGAGAACCACTGCTCTAAAATGTAAAAATAGGAGAAATGAGCATGAATAATTAAATACCCAACATCATCAAATACCAATAACCGATATGGTCCTGATATGTCATGCGTCCCTAGATATAATTTCAAATTAGGCATCAAAAACTGCTGCTCCCTCACCACACACACATAAAACACTTGACAAACTTGTAATGCTGAGATTGCTTAAGTGTGACAGCGAGCAACATAGACACCTATCATTGTGTGTGTGTGTGTGTGCGTGCTGGGTTACATGACCCAGACGGTGTTAAAATTATTAATGTGGATGATGGCCTACATTTCCTGCCAATTATATTTTCAATAAATGTGTCTATGTGACAGAAAGAAGGATGTGAAAGAGGCACACTGACCAATGGATTCAAACCTCTTCTGTGGTAGAATATAGACATGCTGATTGTGTGATGGGGTGAGAGGAGGGTACTGACGCTCTGATATTACCCACATGCTCTCACATTGACACAAACAAGTCAGACCCAAGCCACTGCTACCAAAGTTTATGTCCTCTTTCTCTACACTCGGATACA